TTGTAATTTTTTGTCGTTTGAATCATATGGATTACATAATTAATTTGCATACTTAATATAGGGCGAGAAGCATTGTCATTGATCACACACGCTTATTTTTAGACTGCTTTTAAATATGGCATAAAGCTTCATTATAACAACACTTTAATATAGACCAGTTTCAAAAGAAATCGACTATGTTTTGATCATGACGCTGTAAATACGCTTTGGTAACTAAAAAATTGTAGGATCATCTTAACACATATGAAGTAGAAATATATATCACGGGTAGTAAAAATTTGGGAAAGTTGAAAATTAGTATTTGTGCCACATGACCAGACAATTTTCGTTGTGTACATGCATGTAACTTATGTTACAGGCGTGATACTGAATAATCTCACGAGGCGTTTCGCGCGGGACTACACGCACCTGTCCGAAACATTCAAAATTGTCGGAAGCCGACACGGCTATCTTTAAAAGGGAGAACGGGGAATCGGGCTCATAATTCATAAATCTAGCTTACTGATTTCGGTTAAAATAATTGAAAAGGAGGCGAGATTTGCAAAATTGGTAAAATAGGTGGATAACAATATTTAAATTTACAATGCTTACGGAGACCTTCGACAGCAAATTTTAAATTATTTTTGTAGGTCTATTTAGCATTTTATAAGTTGCGTTAATCCTCACGAGCAAAAATTTGCGAACAAGTCATTCAAATTTTAACATAGGTTGTTTCAATAGTTTTGGTTTTTTAAGGCGCGCTGTACAATCATGCGTCCATTGATCTACGGAGCAGAATTTTATTGGTAATTACTTGCAACGAACAATGGACTGAGTATGCAAAACATATTACCCTGAGACAGCAAAAGTTTGTTTGACTAATTTATTCCATGTAAATCTGCCAAACACGTTTAAAGCAATGGTTAATCAATTGAGATGCCTCATTTATCTATTGCTAGATGAGATGATAATGAGGCTAAATGAGGTTTATCATCTCATAATCTATTGTTTGAATTGCATTCAACGCGACCAAAATGCGACGTATGAACTAGGCCTAAAACATGCTTTACCGCCTTTACTGTTAAGTGTCATCGACGCATACAGTCATTTGTCCGTTCGAATGGTTCTTCAGGCAATATAAGGGAGTTACATTCGAGGAGAAAACTCAGACTTAGTAAAGGAAGGATCACTCGAAGAAGTCATAGGGAAAAGTTAGAAGAATCTTGCTCATGCAGGTACATGGCCATGGTTAGTTAAAAGAATGTGTTGGTTTGATCTTTGGCTTTTCAAATTAACTCATCGCTGTCGTTGATTTGAATATAGCCAGAAAACATTAGCGACTGGAAGCATATTCTTGCTGATTTTCACTGCTCTATCTTGTATATTTCGATTCAAAAAGTGAGATGCAATTGCGAGCTGTCAACTTGATTTTGTTTTATCTTTCTTGTTTGATCTCAGAACGAATTATGGTGGCGAAAGATATGGAAGGCGAAACACAAACGCTTGCTCGAAGCGAGTAATAGGTATTGTTGTATTTATATATCAAAATCAATATGATAGAAAAAAGGCAACCGCACTTAATATTCATGAATATGTGCTGAGTTATTTCAGTCTGCTATTATCGTTCGCAGTTCGGAGCGTGTTTTCTACTTCCAAAGTAACTTATCGTGCTGTAGAGGATTTTTTTGCTTGCCATGTCAATTAGTTTTACCACAAAACAAAAATTCGGAAAGAAAGTCACTTTACTATAGACTTTATAGAGCCGTGAATTTTTTGTTTTACCAAGGTTTTCTTACTTCTAGAATGAAAGAATCGTCGCAGTGGAGAGACGTCGGACCTGCCCTTTGGACATTAATGCACGCAAATACAAAACTCATTTTCGGTGAAAATTTGCATGGGTAAAATATGCATGGGATTTGGCATTTTTGGTTGAGATATGCTGTACACTCTTCTGTTTACCTCCTTGATTTGTAACTTTTCATATTGCGGTTTTTGCATGTGTCTGGTCGTTTCAAGCGCATGCGGAGTAAATACAAGTGATTCGGGGCCCCATCACTTGTATTTTCTGCATCTTGAACGACAATAGTCCGGACAAAAAATATCGCTGTCAGAGCGCCTAAAACACAAAAATGCATGACAATTAAATTGTATTTCTAGACGGAGATAATAGTCGAGTGTTCTAGTTTTCTCGGGACTATGAAGAAAATGATTAATATTTCTTTCAAAACATGCATGACCGTTTGTATTTGCGTGCGCAATGCGAAGGCTTTGGCCGAGTGGCGTAGACGATTTCGAAGGTCTGTAATAAGGCTTTGAGTGATCATTTTATACTGAATGCTTTATACCTAAATTATATTTGTGACTTGGAAATTAATGATATCATATTTTTGTGATGAAGGATCGTCGCAGGATCAGATGATAAGAGGATCTTCGCAGGATCAGATGATAAGAGGATCTTCGCAGGATCAGACGATGAAGAATCATCGCAGGATAAGATGATGGAGTATCGTCGCAGAATCAGATGTTACAGGATCGTCGCAGAATTAAATGATGAACGATCGTCGCGGGATCAGATGATGAAAGATCATCGCAGGATCGGATTCTGAGCGACGAGACGGGTGTTCAAGTAGAAGCTGGTTGAGGTACATATTATAGGTATACTAATTAGAGTAATGCATGCATGTGCATGGTGCATGGGATTGGTGTCTCCTGCGTGGTGGTCTAACCTCGTATATTCACAAATCAAGTGACATTTCAATCTATTCGACTATGCATGAAAACAAAAAAAAATTTTAGAGCTCTTATGAGGCCGTTTTTCGACCTTTCTCGACAAAAAGTTCCTAGTTTTGTCACTTGTGTGAATGCGTGTGAATTCTAACGACGTAAAAGCTGCAAAAGGATGCATGGTGGCTTTTAAAGCATTCAAATGAAACTAAAAAAATGCAATTAGAATGGGCGACGCGCGCACAACGAGAAAAAAAACGAATTCGTATTGGCCTAATTTTAGATTAATACGAATGTAATCGCGAGCACTTATATGATTGTATAAGTTCTCTGTCCAGCCTGTTATAACGCGACCGATTTCGAAAGACGTTCGTCAATGGCATAAAAAAATTATACTGCAGTCTTACAAGATTTAAATTCGAATCATTGAAGTTTGAAATGAAGAAAAAAATGACCGTTTGATGTTTAGACACTAGCACTCTTCTGTTTCTTTCCTTGGTATTGATTTTTCGGATTCCAGTTGAAGCTCTGAAACTCCGGTTAATCTCAAGCATGAAGGAAATAAACGTAATCTAATCATTTTGACTAACTTAATGAAGTTTTTACAAGAACGTATATAACGTAACCCTATAGTACATGATATATTGCATTGGATAATAAATACACTCAAATAATGAAGGGGGCGGGGTTATCTAGGGGTATAGTGTTTAAGTTAGGGGTACAGCGTTAAAGTTAATATTGTATAGTACACTCTTACCTAAAAAGCTAACCCTTTAAAGAGTCTTTGCATTTTGACACACTTACTATGTTTTTTAATTCCTTTCACGCCCCACCGTCGAGATGTGTTGTTGAAGAAGAACAGAATTGTTTGAAATGAAGCAAGTGAAACTCGGTACATTGTTTACGAAAAGTAATTATACGATGCTAAAGGTAAGGGACATTCTTGATTAGCCATATTAAGTACGTTGCATGTTGAGCCCGATTACGTTTATTTCCTCCATTTTCGATCAACCGTAATCCAGAACGTATTTAAAAAAGATAAATGGTGCATGTCTTAAGAGAAGAGTGTTGTTGTCTACATCGATTTCAAATGAAAAAAAGCATGCAAGCCGTGAATATGAAGCATTTCCCACCATAATGCCAGATTTAAAGAAAAACATGATCATTTGAACAAGTGAAATAATTTTTGTTGCCATTGTCGGACAAAGCGCTGCTCAATAAAAATTTGTAACAGCCTGCTATTTGTAACCGACGATTTGCGCGCTGCGTACGTTAGACCACCACCGGCAGGATCCAATTGACGAAGCTCAAGAATTGCATGATCATGCAATTCCTGGGACTAAGTTTAGGTACTGAAATGGCAAATTATAGATAAAAACTGAACTGTTATTGAGGACGATTTCTAAATAAAAATACCAAATTCGGACCGCCGGGAAGGTAACCTGAAATTCAGGTTGTCTTTGGAGGGTTTTTCACCGGGCACTCCGGTTTCCCTCCTTTTCGTTTGGCTTTCAAAATCAGTGTCCATGTTTGGGGCCAAACGTGTTTCTTGAAGGTGAAAAGATTTCTTGCATATTTTACAAAATCGAGGAATCCTATTTGTTAAAAACGCGTGTGTTTGGCTTCTGGGTTCAATTTCCAGAACACTGTCGTATAAAAAGAATTGAACATGTTTACTCTGGGTCAGAACGAGATTTGCAAGGGGAACACTGACATCGTACTTTTAGGCAGCATTTCTACTTGCGGGTAACTCAGTTTATCTGAATATTGATATTTATCTTCGGATTACGCTCGTAATATTGCTCGTAAAATGTCGTAAGTATAAGTCAACGAGAAATGCGCCAAAAATAAATGCTAATGATTTAAGATATAATCTTAAGGGTATATAATCAGGTTATTAACGATCCCCCTCCCCCAATAAAGCCTGTAGCTATGACCCTGTATTTAAATAAATCTGGCATGTTTTGAATATTTGAAATTTTAGCGAGTTTAATTTGATGCTGTTTCTTTTACGCAGAACAAAGAATTTTGATACTTTCTTTTTAATAACATGATAAATTTTTGGGGCTGTCCCCCTGGTCGGCAAGTACTGCACGTTTTTCTTGTTTTTATCGCCACGAAAGGAAAGGAATAGGAAAGCAAGCTGCAAGTACGCGCTCTTCTTCGGGGAAACCCCTATCAATGCAACAAAGGATGCGCCGCCACGTTTCAATGACATATCAACCGGAAATCTGTTAACCCGGAAAATGTCCCCTTACAATATTTTACCCCGGAACATTTATCCTCTTGCGCAACGCCCTTCGCTTGTGAATCCTTGTACTATATTTATTACTCTATAAACACTGTCAAACATGGCAAGGTCGTATCTAACAGCCGCTCAACTCGACGGCTTCAGACGATACAAGGTTGGAATATTTTTGAACGATATATTTAGCATTTTCACTGACTAACCACAAATCTTTGCATATAGTATTCCTCGAGGGACACAAGCCCACTAGCCGTGTACATAATGCATCCATTTTGGAATAATGCGGTCAAGGTGAGCTCTCTCAAGCAACACTTTGTAGATTTTTATAAATTTCTCGATAAATTTAAGTGAAATGTTTACGGGATTGCTAATTTCTGGATGAATTCCTGTTTCATATCGTGTGCAAGTGGTTGAACTGATAGTATTTGAAATGGCCTGATCGAGGTCATTAATTATTAACCGTTTGTACATTTGTAATGTGGCCTTTGAATTGAATCACAAATATCTAAACTATGTGGTCTTGTATACATTATCAACGAAATTCCTATCGCTAGAGGGAATATTTGTATTGTATAATTTAGGTAGCAATGCATTTTCAATGCTTTCATTTTTTTATTGTGGTATATTGATCAAGTAACACAATACTGATTCTGTACCCTGAATGGGCAAAGTGCAAGCAAAGTGCCTTGGAAGAACCATGCAAGGCACATTCCCGCATTTATTACACCAAAAGCTTCTGTTAACAAAACCTTTTCACAACAGAATATTACACTGTCAAGTTCCTAATGGTCACACAAAACGTACCATTCAACATATCATAAACAGAATTAACAATACTATAATATTTCATTATTTCTGCTTTAGTGAAATATTGAAATAACTAGGATTAGACATATTGTATTGTAATAACATACGTACCATACTTTACGTACCCTATTCAAGATCTTGATGATCCAGTTATATGTAGTTGGATATTCTTGCCAGTTAGATTATTGATTTGGTAGATGACAACTACAAGAATTTGCAAATTTTAAATAAGCACTTTGTTTCTGTAGATATTTCCAACATGGCTAGCACCTAATGTCATGACATTTCTTGGGTGGGTATTGACGGTCGCCATTTTTATCGTTTTATGCTATTATGACCCATACCTTGTAGCTGCAGGGTCTCGTAATGGCCATCACGAACAGTATAACATACCACAGTGGATCTGGATCTATATTGCTATTGCACACTTCTCTGCACACACCCTAGATGGCTGTGATGGTAAACAAGCGAGGAGAACAAACAGCAGGTTGGTCTAAAATTGACCATAATAAAATAAGATCTTCATTATCATGTTTGCCTTAATGGAAGAGTTGATAAAATATTGCATCCAGTCTGGCATATATAAGACAGAATAAAATACTAAAGTAGAGCACATAGGTTTACAAGTGACATGGACAGACAGTTTTATTCGACATCTCTTAATTGCCAATACTTTTCCACTAATGTGTCAAATAATCTGGCATTATATAAAGTAAAATATGCTAAAGCTGGGTTCATTTCAAGCCAATGGGTTAAGTCTATTTATTTGCATAAAAAGATTAACATGTGCGCTGCAATATTTTGACAATTTGTCATTTTTTCAATGATTGAAGAATTTTCCTGAAAGCCTTTGCAAGATTCGCCTGGATCACCACGTGCGGTCCTTTGAAGGATTCGCCATGTCAGCTCATATACTTATTGTTATACTTTTCAGTTCACCACTGGGGGAGCTTTTTGACCATGGTATAGACAGTATGGCAATATGGTTGATTGGAGTATGTGTATTCTCTATATTTGGCCAGGGGCCACTGTCCTTAACCATGTGGGAGTATCATTGGATTGTTGTGGTGATACTTATAGGATTCTATGTGGCTCACTGGGAGAAATATATAACTGGAGTACTGTTTCTCCCTTGGGCTTATGATTTCAGTCAGCTGGTATGTACGCACACAGTATTAGCTATAATTGCAAACAAACTCACCAGCTGTCTAATACATTCCAACTGTGACCATAGATATTCCTCACAAAATCTACCAGTTCATACTGACTATCTTGACATTGATTGTGACACTTGTGGGAAAGTGCACCACCTGGTAAAGCTACTCTCCCCCACAGTCCCCCGGCTAGATCACCATGGATTAATTTTTCGCTGATGTTGAACAACTAATTTCCTAGCAACCAGGAGCCAGCTAGTTGTATAAAACAAAGTGACACCATACTGACAGTAACCAATTTACTGACAAAAATTCAATGACTCATTGATTTGACCAATAAACTGGATGAAACAGACTAACTCGTTGACTGTTACCATTACCAATGATCTGTCATAAACCGACTGATTCCCTGATATACTGTTGTAAAAGTTTCATCTACAAAACATTCTCCTCTTATAAGGATTGTCTGCTTATTTTTATTCAGACGCTGCTTGGTATTTACCTAAGCGCTCATTTTTTTGGTATCAATTTTTGGAAGTTTCCACTGTATAAGGATATCTACCTCACACATGTCTTTAAATGGATTGCACATTGTAAGTTGCTACATGACGTAACGTTGGAATAAGTGAATTTGCGTCTCCGTATTCAGGGCGGTGTTTTCCACTTCGCGGAATTTTTCGATTGCACAATATTTTTTAACTTTCGACAATTCGACCGTGCGGGAGGGGAGGGGGGATATTTTTGACAAATTTCATGTGACATCGGCGGGAAATTTCGTTGAAAACCGCCTAAATTAAAAAAACGTCAGTAAAAACTCCAAATAGACGGAAATTTTGTGTTAGTTTATACTGAGTAAAGAGTATGTCATCCATAAAAGCGATCAAACAGTGAAAAGCCATTCAGTACACGCGTAAAAATTGATCAGACCAGCATGTTTGTAGAGTACAGTACTACATTAAAGCAGACTAAAATAACTTCTGACGAAAATATTTCATTTCAGCATCGTTCTTTTGCTGCTTTTTCCCGCTATCTTTATATAATATTTACAGGTGAGATACGTAATGTAAGTGTAATTATAACGTACTAAATCATAATCTGCCACCCTGACCCACCGATAAATCCATCTTGCCCGAGGCGGGGTGAGGTAACAATGTGGTTTTGTTATACAGATCTAAGGTTGAAAAGACAGATCGTGGGTTGTCGTTAGGAGAAGCCCTAAAACCTGGAATTCCACTGTTTACATGTCTTTCGTTGTTCACACTCTGGGCCTGGTATTCCCCAAGCAATATCCTTCAAGCACATCCAAGATTGTTTTTCACGTCTTTAGGAATTGTTTTCTCAAATGCTACTGTAAGTACTAGATAAAAAGCTATTTCCCAACTGTGCGGGGGACTGGGGGTGTGATTTTTGAAATTATGAAAACACCTTCATGATCATGCGATAAAACTTGTGTTGTTTTTTGCAACATGTCAGACAGAATGAATAGAGTTTTCGGACTTAATCGGCGAACCATTCCAACTTCTCCGTAAGATTTTCATCCAACATATATGCAGTACATTTGGGTAGGTACGTACCTATATGAACAAGCTTTGCTATTGGTTGCAGTTAACAATAAAACACAATGAGCTATAGAAATTGATTTCTAAAAGAACGAATCATAAACACGGAGTGTTCACTATTGTTATAAAAGGCCAATCACAAAACTCGTTCATTTTAGGTAGGTACATACTGGTACATATCCCATGTTTTCAAACTAAATCTAGCGATTTTAGATTCAAACTATACCACTTAATTTATGGCTGATTTCCCCGTCGCGCATGTTTCCCACACCACATCGCCCTATTCTCACACTGGTTGTATAATGAAAAATTAGAAATACTTATATCAGTCCCTCACAATGACAGTCGATGGGGAATATCCGCGATTTAGTTTCATAAAGAAGCAAAAAGAAGCGGCAAGGTTTTCTTACAAACAAAATCGCTTCTAAGCAGCGCGATATCGCAACTCAAAATTGCTTGATAATCAACTACCATCACACAACAAGGGGGGGTTTCGTTTTAGACCAACCAACATAGTTTGTTTACATTTTCAGTAAGCCAATCAGAATGCATAAATCTTGACTATTTCCGGTAAAAAGTTACATCATTTGCCATTTTACATAAAGTATTAAAAATTTAGGAATTCTGATTGGCTCTGCCTGAAAAATGTAAACAAGTATGCGGATTTGTTCAAAATGAAATTCCTTCTTGTTCTTCAATCACACGCAATGCGCGCTTGAAATTGTATGGCACTGGTAAAGTAACCAGTATTATCATAGGTAGCCCAACACTCGTGTTCCGCGTGCGTACACGCTACTCAGTGATCAGCATATATTAATTTATCCTAAGGTTGGCAACTTTATCACCAATTATCAATAATATATCACATACATACATGTCAAACTTCGATATTTATTAATTTTGCAGCATTTTGTGGTAGTTTTTCAGTTTTTATCGAAGTTTGACATGTATGTATGTGATATATTATTGATAATTGGTGATAAAGTTGCCAACCTTAGGATAAATTAATATTTCCTGACCACTGAGTAGCGTGTACGCGCGCGGAACACGAGTATTGGGCTACATATGGTATTATACAATTACTTAATGGTTTCCGTGTTTGGATGGCCTGATCCAAATACGGGCTTCGACCAATCAGAACACGCGTTATTTACACGTTATTTTATAAAGACTGTTGAATCTATAGTCAGTAAAATGTTTTTTTTCTATTTTTTAGTGTCGCCTCATAGTCAGTACGATGAGCCATCAGAAATGTGAAATATTCAACTACATGTTAATTCCTTTAATATTTATTAACATAGCCGTCTTTTTAGTCGATTTTAACGAAGTGTATGTTCTTGCAATTTACACGTTAATCATTGGTTGTGCTCACGTGGATTATGGCGTTGGTGTAGTAAGTATATCTCATGCTAAAACTGTTTGCATCACATATATCGACATTTGTTTACATTTTTTAGACTAAGCAAATTTTCAATACTTCATGTAAAATGGTACATAACGTACTTTTTACCGGAGCTAGTCATTATTTATGATAGACATTGGGAAAATATAGCGATTACTGTTTATGAGGCTTTAGCAAAAAGTTTAAACGAAATTACGAGGGTGTAAAATCCTTCTTTTCTGCTTTTATCACAATATATTTTCCCTAAATTGTTGAGCTGTTTTTTTTGACTTTCGTGTTTTTGTTCAGTCCGCATTCCTTTTCTATACAATAATTACTTTTTCTCTTCTAGGTCAACGAAATGTGTAACATGTTAAGAATACGATGCTTCTCGCTTAAGCCGTTATGAACATAGTTTTGCGTCAGGTTCTTTAATTTATGGTACGCAAATTTCTCGCCCATGTACATTCTCCATCTGAAAGGCTGCATACAATCGATGGGAACTAACAAGGAATAGTAAAATGTTTAATGCAGGCGCGTGATCTTTGGTTGCCTAGTTTTAGTTTTACAATCCAATTATTTGGCATCATTGATTTAAGCCCCGTTTTTACACTACACTCGATTTATTGGCACAGCACGGCTAAAATGGGTACCGTGCCCATTTCATGTGTGCTTGGCTTTTGTTTCGGTAAGTTTAAGTTTAATCATTTGTCACAACACAATACAATTATTACGCATATACATGTACAATAACAGAGGACATAGGTGTGACAGAGAAGAGGAACAGGACTTGCGTCCCAATTGACACCTGAGCCCAATATAACTAGACTTTGCCACTTGTCGCCCACCAATCTATCGCAATGATAACATTCATATGATTCATTTGATTATGAATAACTTGACTGATTCATTCATATCGGTAGCCTGAACACTAATAGTACGGGGGTACTGGTACAAATTTTAGCCGTGCCGATAAATTGAGTGTAGGCTATAAAATTGGGCTATAAAATTGATGATGAATTGCGATTTTGAATTCGCATTGAATGATTGACATGCATGTCTGTGGCAATAGGTTTCATTGTCTCACACGTATATAGTTAAAATTGATATTACCCAGATTACACACGTTCTCGTATTTCTATGGTGTAAAATGTGGAAGATATCATCTACTGTATTTGAAACGAATCCTAATTCGCCAAGGCAGTTAAAGATGCACATAACGTCTACCATAACATACCGATTCGTCTTTATTTTAATCGTGGTTTTTTGACGCTATATATTTGAATACTACTCCAGTTTTTCCAGCTTAGTAACTCACATTTCGCAGAGTCTAATCTCTGTCCAATATTGCATGCCCAATTTTGAAAAGAATCTGGAGCAAGGCCTTTACTTTAAAGCATATAGAACTGTTTTACATTAAAGATATAATTAATGATTCAAGTTGTAATGGTAAGCAGTTACAATAGTTGTAAATTTTCATTAAAAATTTGTTTTACGAATGAAATTATTATTTTCTGGTAAAAAAACTCTATGAAAAGCTAAACAATTTGAACCGCTTTGCTACAAAAGCGATATATGCATGCTTGCTAGGTTCTCATACAAATTTGCTCCCCAAGTCGCAAATCTATGGCCATGACAGAAATTATTTCCAGCGAAGGAAACATATAATTTTATATGAGAAAACACACCAAATCATCAACAGGATCCAACTTATATACATAAAATCAATCGTTGATTTCATAAGTATTATTTAAATGTTAAACTTTCTTTATAACTCTAAACGCCCGCGCTGGCGAAGCCTTTGACATTGTAATGAAGAATCGCCTAAAAAGCGTACTGAAATTAGCATAATTATACAGCATTCAAGTTTGGCTGCAAAATGTCAGGTAGTACGAAAATATAGCCGAGCTAAATACCTGCACACGTCATGCTTTTGGCAACGTTTCAACCCAATCGGAGTTAGACGCGTCAATGTAAGTTCATTGACATTGTATGTAGTCATCGACTTCCTGTTCATGCAGCTGGTATTTGACTATCTTATCAATAAATAAAGGATTTTCTACAGCAGTTTCTCTTCGCATTGAACAGTTCAATTGACAATTGGCTATACCTTTTGCTACAAATCTTATTCAGTGATAGTGTCTGTGTGTTTCAAATATGATGATGGGTATGGTATTCACCTATGGCTATGTATTCTTTCTTGGAATTTTGAGATACTCAAACGGCATAGTGGTATGCACAGGTTAGAAACTATACACATGTTATCACATTTTTATAAAGGCTAGCCTAAGGACTGCCAGTTTCGAATACCGAATTTGTTTTACGAATGAAATTATTATTTTCTGGTAAAAAAACTCTATGAAAAGCTAAACAATTTGAACCGCTTTGCTACAAAAGCGATATATGCATGCTTGCTAGGTTCTCATACAAATTTGCTCCCCAAGTCGCAAATCTATGGCCATGACAGAAATTATTTCCAGCGAAGGAAACATATAATTTTATATGAGAAAACACACCAAATCATCAACAGGATCCAACTTATATACATAAAATCAATCGTTGATTTCATAAGTATTATTTAAATGTTAAACTTTCTTTATAACTCTAAACGCCCGCGCTCGCGAAGCCTTTGACATTGTAATGAAGAATCGCCTAAAAAGCGTACTGAAATTAGCATAATTATACAGCATTCAAGTTTGGCTGCAAAATGTCAGGTAGTACGAAAATATAGCCGAGCTAAATACCTGCACACGTCATGCTTTTGGCAACGTTTCAACCCAATCGGAGTTAGACGCGTCAATGTAAGTTCATTGACATTGTATGTAGTCATCGACTTCCTGTTCATGCAGCTGGTATTTGACTATCTTATCAATAAATAAAGGATTTTCTACAGCAGTTTCTCTTCGCATTGAACAGTTCATTTGACAATTGGATATACCTTTTCCTACAAATCTCATTCAGTGATAGTGTCTGTGTGTTTGAAATATGATGATGGGTATGGTATTCAGTATACAATAGAACTCTATGTCGGGGAACATTTATGCAAAAAATTGTTCCTTATTCGTCACGTGTTTATTGTATTTTGAACAAATAATTCAATAGCAAGGTCTGAATTAATATGTTGTTCAAGTCACGGTTGAGGAACTAAGCCAAGCCATTGCTGTTGGTTAGTTGGGCAAAAATGCAATAGACATGTGACGGATAAGGAACATTTTTTGCATAAACCTGGACAATAACATAGATAATAAGCTGTATTGTACTTCCATCTAGTCTCCAAACCATGTATATTCTAATAACTGTGGTTAGAACTATACACATGCAAGTGTAAGACGGCAATTAGAAATAGGTAATAGGGAGATGTTTTTAAAAGTATAGTTAAACCTAATGGTTCTTTGGTATATCTCAGATGCCGAATACACGATTAATGCAAAGACGGTTGCTCCCACAATCTCTTACCAAGAGGCAACAGCAATTTGTAAAGCCGATGGGAAAGTACTTTGCGGTTCTAATGTCATATGCAAAGGTGGCAGACCGCACAATGGATTTCTTTCTGGTGATCACTGGGTACCCGTAATTGACAGTTATAACGAATGGATACAGATTGGTAAGCGGAAAAAGTTGAAAAATAGTTTATTGGTTCTTTAGTGACTATCAAGGTTCATTTTTATTGTTATATTGCTTTTCAAAATCCTATTTTCTGACTAAAAAGCCTCGGTCTGATATTTTACAGTACAGGCCTCACGCTCGGTCAATAATAAGTTACTATTTACCAACTAAGAAAGCGTTTATCACGCAACAACCATGGAGGTTTCCCAAGGTACATTTTGAAGACTAATTAATTTACACTGCAGATTTGCATAAAAAATGCTCCTTGTAACCGGGCGTTAAACTTTTTTAACGCGCACTAGTTTATAAATCATAAATATAAATTCCACTGAAACTCGTGCATTTCCTTAATTATTTCCTTTTATTTGTTTACATTCTCAGGAAATTCCATTCATGTCCCATGCGTCCTCCACAGTTCCCTAGGCTTTAAACCATCCTGGGGGTTAAAAAACACTGCCCGAGGCTATAAGGGGAACCTGTTCTGCTGCAAGAAAAAAGGTTTGACTACATAGCTTTAGCAAGTATTGAAATTTACCATTCAGCAGGTATGCATGAATGAAATTATCATCTTTTAGACGCTGGTATTGTGATAAAGGCAGTCTCGAATAAGATTTTGTATCAGGAAGCCGCCAAAAGCTGCCAAACAGACGGAAAACAACTCTGCGCTTCCCACGACATATGTAAAGGCAGTACACCTTACGGCGGACCACTTTATGGAGATCATTGGGTGCCTGTAAAAGACAGCTCAAACGAATGGTTGCAAATTGGTAAGAATCGACAAATAGATTGTCCGTTAAGTGTTAAGTTATACATTACGGTATCACATCATTTGTGGTAAGAACAAAGAAGTGCCCATAAGCCGTTTGGACGACACTTCAAAGCCCCGTTTACACTATACTCGATTTATCAGCACGGCACGCACTAAGATGGGTACCCGTGCCCATTTCGTCTGTGCTCAGCCTTTGTTTTGGTAGCCTGAACACTAACAAAAAGGGCACCAATTTTAGCCGTGCCAATTTATAAATCGAGTGTAGTGTAAATGGGTAAAAATCACAGCGCCGTTTACACTACACTCGATTTATGGGCACGGCAAGGCTAAAATGGGTACCCGCCTGTTTTATTAGTGCCTAGCCTTCGTTTTGGTAGACTGAACACTAATAAAATTGGGCACGGGTACCCATTTTAGCCGGGCCAGGCCAATAAATTGGGTGTAGTGTAAACGGGACTCGCAACCTTTTAAACACGACTAATTTAATTTTGGGGGTGCCCGGGTTTTAAGCAAAGAAACTTTCCGTAAAATAAGAATGCATATTTCAAATGATAAAAAACATGCTAAGTTAAATTGAACGGAAAATTTGAGCGTTAAAACGATTCAAATTTTGTGTTGAATCTTTCTGCATTCGATTGTAAAAATCAAGAATTACATTCTATGTATGCGTATATTATATATGGGTCTAAAAACAAGGAGTTAGCCGTTATCTTTATGTAATGATGGAGCCAATTGTTCAAAGCTAAGTTAGCGCTAACCATGGGTTAATTTTACTCAAGAGTTTTCAGTTTATGTGCTTCTAAACCACTGTTCGTTTTAAAACATTTGACTTCTATCGGTCTAGAAAATATTTGCGAGGAAAGATTATGAACTTTGCAAACAAGAAATTTAAAAAAATAATCAGGTAAAGATTTGCCTTTACCCAAGGTTAAGCGAACCGGCTTTTGCACAACCGCGGCCCCTGAATTGGTTCACATCTCTTTACATATAGGTAACTCACCACATAAACCATGTACCCTACACTCTCATCTTGGATTTAAGCCTGGCTGGGGAATTAGTTGGACCAGACGAAGTTATGGTTTCAAAGGATATGTGATGTGTTGCAAGACATAAAAAGCTAATGTAGCTTGTATGCATGGTTTAATGGTTCAATGGGTTTTTTTATTCAATATACTCCATGATTTATAAACATTTACTGTAGCTTTACCTACATTATAGCTTGTATCACTTGTATGCATTCAGAAAAAATGTAGAGCCCAACGCAAATAAAGAAGATAGAAAGCAAAATTGTGCGCTGTCAAAAATCTTGATCAGTAAATCAAGGTCCACTTTTGCACGCCACGCGACTACAACATCATTTGTCACAGTCGACAATAAAAATGTTCAAACTTACATTCGGCAATTAAACTAAGTTCACCTCTGGAGAACAAGCCGTGAAATTCTGAGCTACAGAAAGAACGTGAATACGAACGAACGTGCAATTCTTCATAATGAATTCGGCATAATTGGTCCTATCCATACTAGAGACGGATTATCCGTCTGAACAAATGATACATACGTCTGAGTATGAAAAACGAACTACCTAGACGAATATATGTCGAACGAAACAGAATCACGCGTTTAGAAAATGCCCGTGAATATTGGGAACGAATGTGCATAGCACAGAAATTATTTATGGGGTAAAAAGGGTGCAAAAGAGCTGTTTTATGATAAATTTTCCATATTTTGTCCCCATCCGTATTTATACCACGATGCGTTAGATGGAAGATGCGTTAAGACGAACTACCATTCAAATTCGTCTAATAGACGAACTATGCGAATAAAACACATCCCGGGAAAATGTTGGGAACGGTCATAATATTAGCTATATAGTGATATACAATATTTTCTGTTAATTATATACATGATTCATAAAGTATCTTGCATATAATCCGAGTATAAAGGCTGATTCTTTATACTTCCACATATAGTAGCTGGCAATATGGAAGGTTGAATCCCGAATACCTGGTTGAATTATACAACTGAATAACCGCACGTACTATTTAGAGCCCAATTTCATCAATTCATCAAGCACGTGATCTGACCAAGATTCCACGTGTTTCACTTTCTCATTCATAAGTATTTCCTAAAAGCAATAAGTTAGTTTAAAGCTAAGAAAAGCAAAGCACCATTGAAATGGATACGAGGGTAAACGGCGGGGTCACTGGAAGCAGTTCAGGACAAGGTTGCCCCTGGCTAAAAGCATTTGTGAGCAGTTGCTCTACAAAATTGTATTTTTTTTGTAATTATTAGTCACCACTACGCCTTGGTACAATCGTCACCCACTGGGTCAAAAGTGAATAACATGTAGTTTGCTTCCGTGTAAACATACAATCCTGTTTTGCTGACTCTCCATTTCCATTTTAACGAATTCTTCCACGGTTAGCTTTCCTTCGGGTTTGCCTTTCTTCGCAAAGGAACAGTTTGCAGAATGTTTGAGGTGCTCACTCCTGTGAATTAGAGCATCAAACGGGTTGAGATAAAAAAATGAAGCCTGTACGCAGTTCTATGAATTGACTAGCTCACAGAACAACTGACTTACCACGGATCATCGTGAGGCTCCCAACCTTCCAATTCTTTGAAACAAACATAACATCGCACCAAGTCCGGCGATTGATCGTTGTTACATGAGTAAAATCCAGCTTGAGCCATCTAAATATTTGTGATCATCATTAGGATCAAATACCAAAAACACTTCAACTGCTTATGATTAATACTGAATGAATAATTATGAGTAATACTAACTGTATTCAGTATTGTTTATAGGAAAATAAAACTGCCTCGGAAAAGACTGGTTTATCATTGCAAAATGTATGCAATTCCTCAATTGGTTCTTTGCCAAAAAAAACATGGAGCAAAATTGAGCAATTCCTCAAATGATTCATTGAACAACCCCCCCTCCCCAAGATGAAATATATTTTTGGCCGCTGATATCTAAGCCAATTATCAGAAGATTGACTAAAGTGCGTACCAATTGCATATATTTTTGTACAAAAATTGCCCTCTTAAAGTTAATATAATAGTAATACAGTTGATGTTCTTGGGCTTTCATAAATGTGTTTCTGGCCCAACTCAGAACACATTTTAACCATCACCACGCTCAGGCTAAAATGAGTTCAGAGTCGGGACAAAAACATATTTATGCCCGCAAATATCAACTCTCTTGTTATATTGCCACAAGGGAATCTCAAAAAAACTCACTCGTGATTGTATTTTTTAAATTGCAGCAGACACAATGGCAAAATATTTCTATTGTGACTCACTACTCTACATCTGAATAAGTGTTGTCAAATTTTACAGTATACAAGTCTGAGGATGTCTTTGGCTGAACATGAATGTTTTGTTGAATATCTTCAAATGTTAAATCCAAGTTTTTATTGCGAATTTGCTCCTAAGTGTGGATGATATACAAATTTTTGCCAGTTAAGGAAACATACACCATGCAGGCTTCAAATACAATGCTCCTGAATGCCCATAATTGTTGATTCAGGAAAATACTGATCTATTATCTAATATACAGGATGAAGTTTACGTCCTTAGACTACAGAAGTAAATTACCCTCAAATTTAAACTGTAGAACTAGGGTTGGTTGTTCAAAAGGTGGATTGAACAAAGTTTCAAAATACTCTCATACATCTTGTGTATCACTAAACCTACATCTAATGCTTTAAATGTGTATAATTTTCCATTAAAAATTACACTATCTACATTGCAATATTTTAGCTCAGCTACTTCCCTATTTGAACATATAATTCCTATAATTTTGCTTTCCTATATTTGAACATACCTGTCATTTAAGTTAAATGCCTTTTGAACAACTGGACCCTGGTTAATAAACTAAGAAATTGGGTTCTTTTACATTTTCACAAAACTGTATTCTCAAAATTTTGTGTAAGTATTTGACATCTAACATCATCCTGTTTTTCTATATGGTTTATAAAAATTCAGTGTGAAAGTATCCAGCTTTGCAGTGCAGTATTAAAAAGTTGAATGACTAGCTGTTTAATACCAAAATTTGAGGTTGCAATTGGCAGCATGTTACATAAATTCTCTAAATGACAGTGTTATGGTTCAGGTGTATTAAAATTTGCTAGGCTAACATATAGCCGATGGACTGTGATGCTTGTAAATCAAAACCTATTGATATAAAGATGGGTAAAAGATATTTATTGTCAGGTATGATATATTATACTTATAATATATTCTAATATATAAACCTCAGAGCTAAGAGTTTTATTAGGGGAAGTCTTCCAGAGGCATCAAGGATTAATAGGTTCGGATGAGTTAAGTACAAAATGTAGTCTTGTAAAACGGCATAAAAATACAGAATATCTAATATATCAATATGTAAGATGTTTATATATCAATTTACTAAATAAAGTATAAACCAACATAATTTCGGTCAGAACGTATGTGAATACAATGTAATATAAATCACCTTTTCCGCGGTACAAATATTATTGCGTTCATCGTCTTGAAAAGGCCAGTTTTGGAAACTAGAAAGACGATTTGCCTCCAAACTCATCTTAGCAATTTTGACATTGTCGAGTTTAATATCCGCCATTTTGAACTTTTCCCGCCAGTTTCAATTTGGTGTGTTTCCACTTGTGAAATTTCTTTATCCCATTGGTTTATCCATAGAAAGTGATAGAAATAGGTTTATCCGATCTTTTCATTGCTTGAAAATTCGTTTATTTTCTTTGTTTTTTTGTTCGTTTGTTTCTTTCTTTGTTTTTTTACACAATATTTACTACCATTTGCGTTAAGTATGAAGCGTGATGATAGATAAAAGGTACGCAGAATCGCGTCGAAACGAAGTCTGTCGAGTGTCGTTTCTTTGTTCTTAAACCGTCGGATGATAATGAGCGAATGATAACTGCCATACCGATAAGAAGGATGAAATGTTTCAACCTTAAAACGTTTGGTTTACTAGCTCTTTAGGATGAGTAAAAGTTTTATCTAGCCGCATGCTTTTTGTCTATTTTTCATGGTTGCAATGTGTGAACCTTTCCCTATAAAAGTAAACAATTAAATCACAATACATCACATTAGCAGAATAAATGGGCAAAGCCACTATCCCTATGGGAAGTAATTATATATATGTTATTTACCAGAATTGAGGTCCGTATAGGGAAATATTTCGCAAGGTCTCAAAAACAGCCCGAGGCCGAAGGCCGTGGGACGTTTTTGAGATCGAGGGAAATATTTCCCTATACGGACCGACTAAACTGATAAATAATAGATTTATTTTTTCTTGCGGTCCGAATTCATATTTTAGCGTTGGCTCTGTGCTTTTAAATCTCGCGCGGTCCGTACGGCTTCATACGGACCACTCGCGTAGCCAATCAGATTGCAGGAAACGCTAAAATACGAATTAGGACTGCAAGAAAAAAAATGTCCGGGCGGGGAAGTTCAGTATTAGAATTAGGTTATATATTGAATGATCGTTTAATCAAAAATATAAATTTGGGAGAAAATGTTAACTTCATCTGTTCCAGTAAACACTGGATTGTAATTAAAAATTAGTGCGGCTCTTTCTTCCACTCCTGACGAAAAGCGGTGGTTGTTATATTTTGTTTCGTTCACAAAGAAATTTGAAAAGTATTGACTTAGTTCAATTGATGCTGGAAAATGTGGAATGGCTTTCGTGAGCGCCCACTCATAAGGAGGCTTTTCTGGGTGCCATTGCGTTGAATAAAACGGATATTTTCTTGCTTCCATCGTTGAAACATATTCCACGCCTTTTCGATCACGATTCGTTGTCAGAACTCGATAAAAATTTCTCAGCTTCTCATTTTCTCGGAATGTTTTTAATGGAAGCGACATGTCGTGAAAATGGGCGGTGATTAACGTTTGATTGAATACATTCGTTCTTTCTTGTCTCATCTCTCCGAATAGTTTAGTGTCGCGATAACTGTGTGGAAGATTTAGTGGGGCTGTCATGTTATTAGAGTCGGTCAGGACACGGATATCTCTGTCAAATACAAATGTCGCAAAGATCTGGTGTCCAAGACACACCCCCATTATTGGAAAGTAACCTCCATTATCGTACGTCTTTTTCGCCAGCTCAAATATTGTCCTTGAGACGTTAGCGTAACCCGAAGATGTGATATCGACCATTCCACCTGGAAGAACAGCACCATTAATGGAGTAGAATAACTTTTTAGTCTCTTTTAATTTTTCGTTAAGTTATTGAAGATAGGAACCACACGTGCGCCTGATGCTTCAAGAAACTTCACGTACGATGCCGAGATGTAGTTTTGACCAAGGCGTTTAAACGCCATGTTGAAAGTGAATTGTACCATGAGTCCAATTATCGGCCTGTTTGTTTGAATTTCACGCCGTGTTACGTCAGAAATGGCGAAGACAGATAACGAGAAAAACAATAAAAAATATGCATAAAATATCGACATCTTGGTATCTAAATCGTGTCCTCTCGACGATCAACTTCGCCAAAAAAGTGTAAAAATATTCCTTTTTTAAACCAACACACAGGAGGGGGACAAGTGGTCTATTCAGCTACTGCAAACTTATGACTTGCATTTGTCTGACTTGCATTTGGCGACTACAAGGAGTAGATTACCGAAGAAATCTTGGCGGGGCACATATTACCTGGAATTGTCCTAGACCTGGTCCAGGCCACGTCTAGAAGGCCTGAAGTGTAAACGTGGCTTTACTCACCATATTGTCGATACAATAGACAAAGTAAAAAATAATTATTCAAATTGCGGTATAGTAATTCTAGGTTACTTCAATAAATTAAATACGGAAGACTTACTTCAATCTACTTCACCAACCTCGTACCCAGGGTCTCTGTACTCACTCAGTGGGTGTCGACCTCACGACCTTAAACAAGTAGTCGATAGCTCAATTCGCTGTACGTCTGTTTTGGATCGAATAATAACCAGTTTCAGTGAGCTCTACTGTAAACCAGAATCTAAAGCTCCCATAGGATCCGCCGATTATTTTTTGGAATCCAGCAATGGACGGAAGTCGGTTTCCTGGAATCAGTAACCAAATTTCAAATAAACGTCATCTAAAACGTTTCCCCCGGTCACCAATAGATGCGATCGGAAGACTGGTCTGCGTAGTTGGCTTAGTGACGGAGGAGAAAATGCCAACGTCGATAACATGACAGATTTTGAGATGACTGTTGATCATTTCTTCCCTGAAAAATCAGTCCAAATTCATAATACCGATAAACCATGGATGAGTTCATTAGGATCAATTCTTGGACCAGTTCTGTTTCTGTTATATGTTAATGATCTTTTTGAATCAGTCAATACGTCCCAAGTAGCAATGTTCGTTGACGGTACGAAATTGTTCTCTATAACATTAGGTGCCAGGAGGATTCTACGTTACTTCAGGAAGATCTCAAAAAGCTGGAACACTGCTCATCTACATCTGGTCGGACTTTTAATAAAGAAAAATGTAAGCAGCAACGTATAACCAGGAAGATTAAACCAATATCATCTGAATACAATTTAATCGACCACCATTTTGTCTGGGGCCGGTTGTATCAAGCCCATTTAGCTTAAACGGTGGATAAGTTCAAAATAGAAATCGAGTCTATCGTTTTATTCAACAAGCAAACTAAATGTTTTCAACCTTAATACAAAGATACTGTTTACAACTACATATTCAGTGCATAATATTCAAGTTGACTCATTTAAGGTGGCTCGATACAGTTTCTCGAATTTTTTTTGGGCTCATTTTAAACAGGGATATTAAGCACCTAAATATTTCACTATAAGGCTAAAAGTTAATATACTTTGCAAAACATATGTAGGACGGAAATATTCTCTGAACCTTTGCCAGGCACCCGTTACCATGGAAACAGAGACGTTTCAAAATGGCCGCCAAATAAAGTTTTATCGTGTTTATAACACAAACGAGTTCGGTGACCCCCACTTTTTTTTGCATTAAACGTTTACGCTATAGATTATTTATCTATGAAAAAGTTTTAAAAAAATTCTAACATGGGGGAATTTTTTAATAAGAAAAAATAACGTTTTTTGTAAATAGAAAAAAAATCCCATTTAGAATTTTTTTAAAACTTTTTTATAGATAAAGCATTTATGGCGTAAACGTTTTATGAAAAAAAAATTGGGGGTCACCGAACTCGTTTGTGATATAAATACGATTAAAACCTGTTCGGCGGCCATTTTGAAACGTCTCTTTTGCCATGGTAACGGGTGCCAGGCAAACGTTCTGAGAATATTTCCGCTCTAGATATGTTTCCTGCAAAGCATATTAACTTTTAGCCTTATAGTGAAATATTTAGGTGCTTAATATCCCTGTTTAAAATGAGCCCAAAAAAAATTCGAGAAACTGTATCGAGCCACCTTAAGAGAGATGTAAAAGTGTTATTTAATTTCGACTTATCGACCGTTTAAGCTATAAACGGGCTTGATACAACCGGCCCCAGGTGTTATATTAACTTTGTTTCTTTGTTATATATTTGTTATGTTGTGCTTTGTTGTTGTGTTAAGTAATTATTCGGTCCGCCGGTCGGGCAACTAGCTGTTGCGGCTCCCGTGTCAATTTATTGTTGTTACATTGGAAAAGTTATTAAAATAAATTAAATTAATCAAGCAATTAATTTTCGACAGACGGCGTGCCTATCATACGGGTAATAACCAGGTGATCTGATATGGCGGGAAAGGACTAGGACTAGTTGTCATATAAAAATCTATTTCTCGGTTGAAACAACTTAATATCTCGGGAAATATACTTTATTTCGGTTTCAAATTTATATCATAGGTAAAGTTCTTATAACTAAACATAATCACAAAATTTTGAATGGTTCCATCAAGAATAATAAAAGATATAATCGATTTAACACTGCAGAATGGATTTCTATTTTCACAAACTTTCTGAGCGCTGATTGGCTGAAATATGAGCGCGAGATCACCTGGAAAGAACTTTGGAAACATTTACGAAATAAAGTTCGCAAAGCTATATTTCAAAGAAAAGAAGCTTTCTATAGGGAAGACGTGCACCACCTTAGGTAAAGTAACCCTTGTAAATGGTGGAACATTATTAATAAAATGTCGAACAGATGGGGATACATCAATCAGTTACGAGGACGAAACTGGAAATGTATCTCTGGGCCAAGTTTGGCTGTAGCCGTGAACAAATTTTATATTTCCGTCGCTTCAGATCTTTCCACGTATTGGACACTAACTTATTACGAGCATATTTGCCAGCACAATATTAGCCACCTGTTATATTAATTATAAGTCTATCGACGCACGCAGGAGACTATTAGAAATGAACCCTTTTAAATCTATGGGACCAGAGTTCCAAACCGGATCTGGAAGCACTTTGCACCAGAGTGGCTATATACCTGTGACCGAAATATTCAATACTTCCCTATGTTATGGAATGACTCCTATCTATCACCAATTCCAAAAGCCACCCCGGTAACATACGACGGAGATCTTAGAACAATTGCTCTTGCTCCATTCATAGCAAAAGTTCAAGACGATTTTGCCATGAAGCTGTTGATTGAAGTCTGAAGGTGTTCAACATGTAACATGTACACATCGATTCACAGAAGGGCTCATCTACTGCAT